AAATACGTGAACACAAGTTCTCTTCCTTGATTTGGGGGATATTCTTTTTTTGAGACATCTCACATGGTAGCCCAGGTTGGCCTGAAACTCACTACGTAGCCCAGGCTGGCCTAGATCTCCCAATTTTCCCGCCTCAGCCTCAAGTGCTGGAATTATAGGCATAAACCATCATAAAGAGTTCCAGATACCATGTTCTATTTTTTCTTTAAAGAAAAATATTTATTTATTTTGAGACAGGATCTGTGTAGGCTAGGTTGGATCGTACTGCCTTAACCTCCTGAGTGCTGGGATGACGGGCTGGTACCTCTACCAGACTGATTTCCACAGGTCATTTTCAGTGTATTTGAACCACACATATTTAACAGGAGGCATGGGTGGGCAGGGGGTGGGTGGGTAGGGGATATGGGCTGTGTGTGTGTGTGTGTGTGTGTGTGTGTGTGTGTGTGTGTGTGAAATTAATAGTAATTATATTACTTATTTAACTTCATGCTTGCAAAATGTTACCGACGGCTCTGCAGTTAAGAGCACTTGATGCTCTTCTAGAGGACCTGGGTTTGAGTCTCAGCACCTGCACGGCGGCTCACACTTGTCTGTTCCAGGAGATCTGATGCCTTCTTCTGGCCTCTACAGGCATCAGGCACGAATGTGGTGCACAGACATACATAAAAGACACTCATACACCTAAACTGTTTTTTTTTTTAAATAATAAAGTTTTTCTCTACCCTGCCTATAGGATCTAGAGTCCCCAGTCTCCATGCTTCGTAGGTAACAGTTGTGACCAGACACAACTAAATGCCTGGTGGCCACATGTGGCTTCAACTTCTGACCAGGACAGATTTACTCTACTCTTCGGGCTTCTAATTTTTGTTTTGTTTTGAGACAGGGTCTTCCTTTGTAGGTCAGGCTATCCTTGAAGTTGAGGATATCCTTGTGCTTCAGACTCCCGAGTACTGGGATTATAGACATGCACCACCATGCCTAGCTAGGCTTTCTCCTCTGCTCTCCCTTTCCTTCCTTCTTTCCTTCCTTCCTTCCTTCTTCCTTCTCTCCTTCCTCTCTAAGACAGGGTTTAAAGTATCCCTGGCTAGCCTTGAGCTCACTGTGTGTCTCAAGGATGACCTTGAATTCCCAATCTCCTGCCTCCAGAACGCTGGAATTACAAGCATGCATCACCAGAGTTGTTTTTATTTGGTGCTGGGAATAGAACCCAGGGCCTTGTGTATGCTAGGCAAGCATACTATCAACTGTGCTACATTCCCTAGACTCTAGGCTTTTCCTTTCAAAAGCCACCATACGGTCTTTTATATAGGTCTTCATTCACAAAATATTCAAAAGTCTATTGTGGGCTATTTTAAACATAATTTCTGTTTGTGTATTTAAAAGTGAAAATAAAAACACTAGGGAGTGGAAAGCAGCCTGGAGGTGCCCTCCCACCCCAGCACAGACTTATCTTGTTTTCTGGGGAGCCTGAACTGGAAAGGCCCGATCCTTAGCCTGGGGGAAGGAGGGGGGGGCGAAGATAATGACATAATTAAGGCTTGTGGCCGGGCACTTTTGATCTTCAAGGACCAGAGCCCACATGGCTGAGGCTCCATTTGGGTTAATTGCCCAGAACCAAGAAAGCCTTGCCCAGAGATAAAGGGAAACTGGTGTTTCAACATTACAAATTGTTCTGGGATGGCTCTGGCAGAGCCTGGATGCCTGGGGCCCAGCTGGCCCCACCCACATAGAGAGAGAGGGTCCTATGGGTTCCTGGGGGCTGCTGGGTGCGGAGACCACCTGCAGGGTGAAGCACTGGCTTCCAGTTTTTTTTCCCCCCAGATAAAGGAACCAAATTCAAGGCGAGCCAGGGACAGATCACACCAAGAACAAAGTCAGCCGCACAGAGCAGAGGGGGCTTCCGATGTGCCTCTTCTAGGGGTTGGGGGTGTGTGTCTAGACCTGTCCCAGACGTATTGCTTTCACATTCTTGCCTAGTACAAATGCAACCTGGGCCATTCTAGTTTCCGGTATTCTTGGATCTCCCAAGGGATGATACCCTGGGTGCCTGGGACTCAGTCTCACCTGCTCTCTGTAGACTGGAAGGGGGCTTAAGTCTCTCTACCTCTGGGTGGCTGTGTGAAATTATTTCACAGGGCAAAAGACCGGCATCAGTATCAGGGCTCAGCATCGGTCCTTGCGGCTAACGAGTAACAACGACTGTGATAATTGAGCACGGATAATTGAGTTCCAAGCAGTTGAAGGGCACTGGCTAGATGGATGAGTTTGGTGGAAAGGAGTGCTTCGCGTTTAAGACTCTGGGCTATGGGGCGATTTCTTAGTCCAGTCGGATGGTTTTCCCCCCTTTCGAAGTCGTGTCTACCCCTCCCTGTGTGCTCCGGGTTTTGGGTGGAGAAGGCACCACCAAAGGTTAGATGTTAGCTGGTCACCTCAGCTGCTCAGCCCCTCTCTTGGGCTATCTGAAACACTTGACACTTTAATTACGGGCGGGCGGACACTTCGTGCGGCAGGCGCCGGGGGCGCTGGAGACAGGCAGGAAGCATCTGCTCCGGGGGCGACCGGACATCCCTGGTCATCGCCAGGTGCACCTTCTGGTGCCCCTCCCCACCTCCTCCCCTAGTCTCCGAGCTCCGGGCTGCTGATGCCTTCTTCCTCCAGGGACCCCCTCCAGCTGACATCAGGTGTCCACAGCCTCTGTTTGTCCTGGTTTGGACAGGATTATTTGGGGGTGGGTGCAGGTCTTTCTCTGGCACCAGGCTTGGGGGTTGTTCTCAGCTGCTGGGGCGGGGATGCCCCGTGGAGCCTGGAGCGACGCACCTACAGGCTAGGGCAGCAGCCGCCCACACCTCCTCCGACTCTAAAGTATATTTAGCCTCATTATCAAATGTTTGCAGTGAACCGAGTGAACCGCCTAATAGCGGCTGGAAGTGAAACTCGAATCCCAGCCAGAGGGAAGCACGTGATCTCTCCCACCAGAAAGGATCACCGAGGCGCGGGCGGGACAGGTGCGGTGGCCTCAAGCGCATGCAGCCCCGCCAGCTGGGCTTGGTTTCTTTGGTGTTCTCTCGAAGCCTGACACCCAAACCTCACCCCCTCACACAGCTCCTCCTCCAGAGGCCAAAATGAGGTCTGGCGAGTGAGCAGCGGGTCCCAAGGGGAACCGCAGCAGGGGGTGGTGGTGGTGGTCTGAGTCGGCTGGTTCTCCTTTAGGCCCTTGACCACATGATTTAGCCAGTCCCAGTTTTCAGAGGCCAGGCATCCCATCTCTTAGGAGTCTTCCGAGGACCTCAAGGAACAGCATGGGGGTGAGGGGGTAGGGGTCGCTGTCTCACATCAGAGGACCCTGTAAGCTTAAGGGCGCGTGCCCCAGTCCCCTCAGGCGGCTGGCGCCCGGCTGCACAAGCTCTTACCACCCTCGCGCGGCCGCTGTTGTTGCCGTCGCTATGACGACGGGTCGCGGTTTTATTTTTAATAGCGGTCGGCGATTAGAGCAGTGCCTGCGCCCAGCTCCCCGCAGCTCCCGCGTCCCCGGCGATGCATCCAGGCCTAGCCTCCCTCTGGCCCCCAAAGTCCCCTTGCGCCTTCAGAATTCCTCCCGCTCTGCTCTGATTTCCAGCTGGGCGCCCCTGCTGCGCCAAGAGAGTAAAGGGAGAGAAAAGCACCGATAGGCGGGGTCCCCAGGAACCCGCGGCCTCCATGCGGAGGTGGTGGCCGGACGGGCGCGGCATCCCCTCCGCAATGCAACCCGATCTTCTTCCTGGATTCCCATACCCACTGTCACACCGGGTCGTCGAACTGCAAAGAGGTGTCCTCTGGTGCTCTCTGCCTGCGAGAAGCCCGAGGGCTTGGCAGGACAGGACGCGCAGTACTCTCGGCATAAGAAGGTGAGGAATTCCACCCAGGTCCGGTTGGGTCTTGGTAGTCTCCCTCTCCAGAGCGGCACAAAGTTCCACCAGCACGAATAAGGCCTTGGCTTTCGAGGACCTCGAGGTGGGGAGCTTCTCGACGTTTTCCAGACTTCCTTGTTAGGCCAAGAGGGGGTGCCATCTTAATCTCCTGAGCACCCTAGGTGTTAGGGCAGGGGCGTGGCGGTGTGTGTGGGGGGCGGCTACAGGCCTATGGAAGTCTGTGTAAAAATAGTAGATGCGGGTTCCAACGATTCTCAGGGGAGGCTCGACCATCCCCCGCCCCCCAGGTATTTGGGGGCTAGGTGAACCGCCCTAGCATGGCCCTTCCAACTTGGCCTTTGAAATGCACGAACCGGGGGAGCTGGGGATGAAAGGCTCCTGTCCGGCTGCGCCTTTGTCTGGGGACAAAGGAGATGGGGGTGGGGGCGACCGAGGCAGGGTGCACGGGTTAATCCACATGATAAGGCGTCAGTTGGACGGGTGGTATTCTCTACTGCACCTCTACCCAAGGAACGCTTCATAGTCTTCAGAGCCCTAGGCTGTCTAGCTTTGGGATTCGAAAGGTCCACAAATGCCCTAACTCCAGTGCAAGGCGAGGCGCCGACAGGCTTGGCCTTGCTGTCGGGTCACTTCCCACCTGAAATCTGTCTCTCGTTGTATGAGAACCGTCCAACCCTAACCAGACTTCTGCCCGCGTGTCGCTTCCCCGCCACCTGGTCTGTACTATGACTTGGCCGGAGGTGGCGCTCTGCGCTCCCTTGGATCCCAAGACAGAACCCAGGAGTTCCTCACCCGTGGCTTCTTTTTCTGTCTTTCCTTCTACCCCCTCAGCTCCCCGGGTTCAGGGTGCGGCTGGGCCTTCGGCCAGGGGCTAGGGATCTGGAGGGTGCAGGGTGTCAAGGTGGCGATGAGGCAGGCGGCAGCCTCCTCCCCGACCCAGGCTTCGTTTCCACCTCCACGCAAGAGTGCAAGTTCCTCAATCAGGTGTCCCAGGCTTTGGCTCAGGGGCGCGGGCGCGTGGCAGCCGTCAGGTGAGTGCCCTAGACGCGCCCCTAAACCCGCCCCGCCTCTCCGCAGAGACTCACTCCCCCTCCTTTTATGGAGAGGGGAAGGCTAGAGCCCTGGATCGGCACGGTGGGAAGCGGCCCGAGTGCCGGGCGGGGGCCGGACCGGCTCTCATGCCCTTTTTGGCGCAGCAGCTCTGGGCGCTGCCCTTTACTGCCGCTGGGGCCCGAGAGAGAGGCGAGCCGGAGACGGCCGTGCTTCTGCAGCGGCCTCCTCCCCTCCCCGCCCGGTGCCGCAGGATTGCAGCTGGCACTGAAGGGTGGGCAAGCTCGAGGGAGGGGCGCTCCGAGAGCCCCGGCGCCTGTGGGCTCCGAGCCGCGGGCCCGGAGCTTGGATGGATTTAGCTGCCTGCGTGAGCGCGTGTGTGGCCACTGCAGTGGCGGTGGCGGCCGGGCCCGATCTGGCCCGCGAGACCCCTGCGCGCTTCCGAGGTGCGGGTCCCGGGCCGGAATCCGGGGGAGGCGGGGGGCGGGGGAGGGG